CCCGTGTCTCCCTCCCCCCACTCCCCGTGTCTCCCTCCCCCCTCCCCCGTGTCTCCCTCCCTCACTCCCCGTCTCCCTCCCCCACTCCCCGTGTCTCCCTCCCCCCTCCCCCCGTGTCTCCCTCCCCCCACTTCGTGTCTCCCTCCCCCCACTCCCCGTGTCTCCCTCCCCCCCTCCCCCCCATCTCCCTCCCCCCACTCCGCGTCTCCCTCCCCCCCGTCTCCCTCCCCCTACTCCCCGTGTCTCCCTCCCCCCTCCCCCCGTGTCTCCCTCCCTCTCCCCGTCTCCCTCCCCACTCCCCGTGTCTCCCTCCCCCCTCCCCCCGTGTCCCTCCCCCCACTCCGTGTCTCCCTCCCCCCACTCCCCGTGTCTCCCTCCCCCCGTGTCTCCCTCCCCCACTCCCCGTCTCCCTCCCCCACTCCCCGTGTCTCCCTCCCCCCTCCCCCCGTGTCTCCCTCCCCCCCTCCCCCGTGTCTCCCTCCCCCCACTCCGTGTCCCCTCCCCCCTCCCCCGTGTCTCCCTCCCCCACTCCCGTCTCCCTCCCCAACGTCTCCCTCCCCCCACTCCCCGTCTCCCTCCCCCCACTGTGTGTCTCCCTCCCCCCGTGTCTCGCTCCCCCACTCCCGTCTCCCTCCCCCCACTCCTTGTCTCCCTCCCCCCCGTCTCCCTCCCCCCACTCCGCGTCTCCCTCCCCCCACTCCCCGTCTCCCTCCCCCACTCCCCCGTCTCCCTCCCCCCACTCCGTGTCTCCCTCCCCCTCCCCCCGTGTCTCCCTCCCCCCACTCCGCGTCTCCCTCCCCCCTCCCCCCGTGTCTCCCTCCCCCCCTCCCCCCGTGTCTCCCTCCCCCCACTCCGTGTCTCCCTCCCCCTCCCCCCGTGTCTCCCTCCCCCCACTCCCCGTCTCCCTCCCTCCACTCCCCCTCCCCCCACTCCCCGTCTCCCTCCCCCCACTCCGTGTCTCCCTCCCCCCGTCTCCCTCCCCCCACTTCGCGTCTCACTCCCCCCTCCCCCCACTCCCCGTCTCCCTCCCCCCTCCCCCCGTGTCTCCCTCCCCCCCTCCCCCCGTGTCTCCCTCCCCCCACTTCGTGTCTCCCTCCCCCCACTCCCCGTGTCTCCCTCCCCCCCTCCCCCCCATCTCCTTCCCCCACTCCGCGTCTCCCTCCCCCCGTCTCCCTCCCCCTACTCCCCGTGTCTCCCTCCCCCCACTCCGTGTCTCCCTCCCCCCACTCCCCGTGTCTCCCTCCCCCCGTGTCCTCCTCCCCACTCCCCGTCTCCCTCCCCCACTCCCCGTGTCTCCCTCCCCCCTCCCCCCGTGTCTCCCTCCCCCCCTCCCCCCGTGTCTCCCTCCCCCCACTTCGTGTCTCCCTCCCCCCACTCCCCGTGTCTCCCTCCCCCCCTCCCCCCCATCTCCCCCCCCACTCCGCGTCTCCCTCCCCCCCGTCTCCCTCCCCCTACTCCCCGTGTCTCCCTCCCCCCACTCCGTGTCTCCCTCCCCCCACTCCCCGTGTCTCCCTCCCCCCGTGTCTCCCTCCCCCACTCCCCGTCTCCTCCCCCACTCCCCGTGTCTCTCTCCCCCCTCCCTCCGTGTCTCCCTCCCCCCCTCCCCCGTGTCTCCCTCCCCCCACTTCGTGTCTCCCTCCCCCCTCCCCCCGTGTCTCCCTCCCCCACTCCCCGTCTCCCTCCCCCAACGTCTCCCTCCCCCCCTCCCCGTCTCCCACCCCCACTGTGTGTCTCCCTCCCCCCGTGTCTCGCTCCCCCACTCCCCGTCTCCCTCCCCCACTCCTTGTCTCCCTCCCCCCCGTCTCCCTCCCCCCACTCCGCGTCTCCCTCCCCCCACTCCCCGTCTCCCTCCCCCCACTCCCCGCGTCTCCCTCCCCCACTCCGTGTCTCCCTCCCCCTCCCCCCGTGTCTCCCTCCCCCCACTCCGCGTCTCCCTCCCCCCGTGTCTCCCTCCCCCCCTCCCCCCGTGTCTCCCTCCCCCCACTCCGTGTCTCCCTCCCCCTCCCCCCGTGTCTCCCTCCCCCCACTCCCCGTCTCCCTCCCTCCACTCCCCCTCCCCCCACTCCCCGTCTCCCTCCCCCCACTCCGTGTCTCCTCCCCCCCGTCTCCCTCCCCCCACTTCGCGTCTCCCTCCCCCCTCCCCCCACTCCCCGTCTCCCTCCCCCCTCCCCCCGTGTCTCCCTCCCCCCCTCCCCCCGTGTCTCCCTCCCCCACTTCGTGTCTCCCTCCCCCCACTCCCCGTGTCTCCCTCCCCCCCTCCCCCCCATCTCCTTCCCCCCACTCCGCGTCTCCCTCCCCCCCGTCTCCCTCCCCCTACTCCCCGTGTCTCCCTCCCCCCACTCCGTGTCTCCCTCCCCCACTCCCCGTGTCTCCCTCCCCCGTGTCTCCCTCCCTCACTCCCCGTCTCCCTCCCCCACTCCCCGTGTCTCCCTCCCCCCTCCCCCCGTGTCTCCCTTCCCCCTCCCCCCGTGTCTCCCTCCCCCCACTTCGTGTCTCCTCCCCCCACTCCCCGTCTCCCTCCCCCCCTCCCCCCCATCTCCCTCCCCCCACTCCGCGTCTCCCTCCCCCCCGTCTCCCTCCCCCTACTCCCCGTGTCTCCCTCCCCCCACTCCGTCCGTGTCTCCCTCCCCCCACTCCCCGTGTCTCCCTCCCCCCGTGTCTCCCTCCCCCACTCCCCGTCTCCCTCCCCCACTCCCCGTGTCTCTCTCCCCCCTCCCTCCGTGTCTCCCTCCCCCCCTCCCCCCGTGTCTCCCTCCCCCCACTCCGTGTCTCCCTCCCCCCTCCCCCCGTGTCTCCCTCCCCCACTCCCCGTCTCCCTCCCCCAACGTCTCCCTCCCCCCACTCCCCGTCTCCCTCCCCCCACTGTGTGTCTCCCTCCCCCCGTGTCTCGCTCCCCCACTCCCCGTCTCCCTCCCCTCACTCCTTGTCTCCCTCCCCCCCGTCTCCCTCCCCCCACTCCGCGTCTCCCTCCCCCCACTCCCCGTCTCCCTCCCCCCACTCCCCGCGTCTCCCTCCCCCCACTCCGTGTCTCCCTCCCCCTCCCCCCGTGTCTCCCTCCCCCCCTCCGCGTCTCCCTCCCCCCTCCCCCGTGTCTCCCTCCCCCCCTCCCCCCGTGTCTCCCTCCCCACTCCGTGTCTCCCTCCCCCTCCCCCCGTGTCTCCCTCCCCCCACTCCCCGTCTCCCTCCCTCCACTCCCACCTCCCCCCACTCCCCGTCTCCCTCCCCCACTCCGTGTCTCCCTCCCCCCCGTCTCCCTCCCCCCACTTCGCGTCTCCCTCCCCCCTCCCCCCCACTCCCCGTCTCCCCTCCCCCCTCCCCCCCCGTGTCTCCCTCCCCCCCTCCCCCCGTGTCTCCTCTCCCCCACTTCGTGTCTCCCTCCCCCCACTCCCCGTGTCTCTCCCCCCCCATCTCCTTCCCCCACTCCGCGTCTCCCTCCCCCCCGTCTCCCTCCCCCCTACTCCCCGTGTCTCCTCCCCCCACTCCGTGTCTCCCCTCCACCCCACACTCCGTGTCTCCCTCCCCCCGTGTCTCCCTCCCTTCACTCCCCGTCTCCCTCCCCCACTCCCGTGTCTCCCTCCCCCCTCCCCCCGGTGTCTCCCTCCCCCCCTCCCCCCGTGTCTCCCTCCCCCCCACTTCGTGTCTCCCTCCCCCACACTCCCCGTGTCTCCCTCCCCCCCCTCCCCCCCATCTCCCTCCCCCCACTCCGCGTCTCCCTCCCCCCCGTCTCCCTCCCCCTACTCCCCGTGTCTCCCTCCCCCCACTCCGTGTCTCCCTCCCCCCACTCCCCGTGTCTCCCTCCCCCCGTGTCTCCCACTCCCCGTCTCCCTCCCCCACTCCCCGTGTCTCTCTCCCCCCTCCCTCCGTGTCTCCCTCCCCCCCACTCCGTGTCTCCCTCCCCCCTCCCCCCGTGGTCTCCCTCCCCCACTCCCCGTCTCCTCCCCCAACGTCTCCCTCCCCCCACTCCCCCGTCTCCCTCCCCCCACTCTGTGTCTCCCTCCCCCCCGTGTCTCCCTCCCCCACTCCCCGTCTCCCTCCCCCCACTCCGTGTCTCCCTCCCCCCCGTTCTCCCTCCCCCCACCTCCGCGTCCTCCCTCCCCCCACTATCCGTCTCCCTCCCCCCACTCCCCGCGTCTCCCTCCCCCCACTCCGTGTCTCCCTCCCCCCACTCCGCGTCTCCCTCCCCCCTCCCCCCGTGTCTCCCTCCCCCCCTCCCCCCGTGTCTCCCTCCCCCCACTCCGTGTCTCCCTCCCCCTCCCCCCGTGTCTCCCTCCCCCCACTCCCCGTCTCCCCTCCCTCCACTTCCCCTCCCCCCACTCCCTGTCTCCCTCCCCCCACTCCGTGTCTCCCTCCCCCCCCTCTCCCTCACCCCACGTCTCCCTCCCCCTCCCCCCACTCCCCGTCTCCCTCCCCCCCTCCCTCCGTGTCTCCCTCCCCCCTCCTCCGTGTCCTCCCTCCCCCACTCCCCGTCTCCCTCCCCCACTCCCCGTGTCTCCCTCCCCCCGTCTCCCTCCCCCCACTCCGTCTCCCTCCCCCCACTCCGCGTCTCCCCCCACTCCGTGTCTCCCTCCCCCCATGTCTCCCTCCCCCCCACTCCCCCGTGTCTCCCTCCCCCCGTGTCTCCCTCCCCCCTCCCCCCGTGTCTCCCCGCTCCCTCCCCCCACTCCGCGTCTCTCTCCCCCCACTCCGCGTCTCCCTCCCCCCACTCCCCGTGTCTCCCTCCCCCCACTCCCCGTGTCTCCCTCCCCCCACTCCCCCGTGTCTCCCTCCCCAACTCCCTCCCCCCCACTCCCCGTCTCCCTCCCCCACTCCGTGTCTCCCTCCCCACTCCCCGTGTCTCCCTCCCCCACTCCCCGTGTCTCCCTCCCCCCACGTCTCCCTCCCCCCTCCCCCGTGTCTCCCTCCCTCCTCCCCCCACTCCCCGTGTATCCCTCCCCCCTCTCCCCGTGTCCCATCACCCCCCCCCACCACCACACGGACAGAGCGTGCGAGGCACCCAAAGGGAGATTTTTTTTTCCGTTTTATTGCAGAGGCACCGCTGCTGCACCAAACGCATCACGCACACAGCCACACGGCTCCCACAGCACCACACGCACGCACGTATCTGAGAATCTGTGCGAGTGTCTGTGTACGCGTGTCTCTGTGTGCATGTCCGAGTGGATGGGCACGGTGCGACTGCCGCGGTCTCTACAGGCGTCTGCCCCTGCGACCTCCCTTCCTGCGCGTGCTGTCCGAGGGAAGGGAGTGACGTCCTCTGTGGGAGACAGGCAGAGACACAGAGAGACAGAGAGAGAGACACAAAGACACAGAGACAGAGAGACACAAAGAGACAGAGAGACACAATGAGACAGAGAGACACAAAGAGACAGAGAGATAGAGAGAGAGACACAAAGACACAGAGACAGAGACAAAAAGATACAGAGAGACAGAGACGGAGAAAGAGACACGAAGAGACAGAGAGAGACACAAAGAGACAGAGAGATACAGAGACAGACAGTGAGATACAGAGATAGAGAGGCAGAGAGAGACAGAGATACAGAGAGAGACACAAAGAGACAGAGAGACACAAAGAGACGGAGAGATACAGAGACAGACACAGTGAGATACAGAGATAGAGAGGCAGAGACAGACAGAGATAGAGAGAGACACAAAGAGACAGAGACACAGAGACAGAGAGACACGAAGAGATGGAGAGATACAGAGACAGACACAGTGAGATACAGAGATAGAGGCAGACACAGTGAGATACAGAGATAGAGAGGCAGAGACAGACAGAGAGATACAGAGAGACAGAGATACAGACATAGTGAGATAGAGAGACAGAGACAGACAGAGAGAGAGAATTAGAGGCAGAGAGATAGACAGACACAGAGAGGACAGACCGCACTAAGTCAGTTGTTACAGGGGGCAATCATTTACACAGTGGATAGATAACCTGGTGCAAACACACACGTGTCTATCTGTGTGTCTATCTGCTTGTATCTGTGTGTCTGTGTGTTTGTGTCTATCTGTGTGTCTATCTGTTTGTGTCGGTGTGTGTCTATCTGTGTGTCTATCTGTGTGTCTGTGTGTCTATCTGTGTGGGTAGCGGTAGTGTAGCGGTTAGCGCACTGCGCTATGAACCTGGCGACCCGGGTTCGATTCCCGCTCACGGCCAACACCAGTGACGATTATCTGAACTGGTCCCGGGCCTCCCCTAGGTCGACTCAGCCTCAAATGAGTACCTGGTGCGGTGTGCAAACATCGCCACTAGGGAGACAAAGGCGGTCGGGCGTGGTGCTGGCCACCCACCCCCTCGTGTACCATTCCGGCCTTCATAGGTGCTCGCTAACAGCACTTGCCCCTACAGTCTGTTAAGGCTATACGGGGGATCTTTGTCTATCTGTGTCCTATCTGCGAGTGTCTAAGTACCGATGCGTCCGATCTTCATGCCCGAGCGAGCCAACGCCCTCAGTGCAGACTGAGCTCCTGGCCCTGGCGTCTTAGGTTCTGGTGAATACATCAACAACAACAACACATCAACAACACATCATCAACAACGTCACCATCACGACACCACACACACCGTCATAATGTCAAGTAGCCGTTGTGTGAGTAGTGTATAGTGTTGTGTACAGTGTAGTGTACAGTGTAGTGTAAACAGTGTAGTGTACAGTGTATAGAGTAGTCTATAGTGTAGTAGTGTATAGTGTAGTAATCTATAGTGTAGTAGTGTATAGTGTAGTTTATAGTGTAGCGTACAGCGTAGTGTAGTGTAAATAGTGTAGTGTATAGTGTAGTGTACAGTGTAGTGTAAACAGTGTCGTGTGTAGTGTACAGTGTATAGAGTAGTCTATAGTGTAGTAGTGTATAGTGTAGCGTATAGCATAGTGTATAGTAGTGCATAGTGTAGTAGTGTATAGCGAAGTAGTGTATAGTGTTGTAGTGTATAGTGTAGCGTATAGCATAGTGTAAACAGTGTAGTGTATAGTGTAGTGTAAAACAGTGTAGTGTATAGCGTAGTGTAAACAGTGTAGTGTACAGTGTAGTGTAAACAGTGTAGTGTATAGTGTAGCGTATAGCGTAGTGTAAACAGTGTAGTGTACAGTGTAGCAAGCTTACCGGTTGCCCCCCGTGGCGCGCAGCTTGATGTGCAGCGCGGTGATCCCCAGCTCCTTGCAGCGCGAGGCGACGTCCTGGGCGGCCAACATGGCGGCGTACGGGGAGGACTCATCTCTGTCGGCCTTCACCTTCATGCCGCCGGTAACACGGCAGATCGTCTCCCTGGGGGGGCGGAGAGGTGAGACACGGGGAAGGTTAAGGAATCAGCATTCATTTTAATTATTGGGTGAATTGACGAGCGAGTGAGTGGACTAGCCACTTAGTGGAACCACCAACGGAGTGGACTAGCGACTTAGTAACTGGACTAGCGACTGAGTGGTCGAGGGAGTGGACTGGACTAGCGACTGAGTGGTCGAGGGAGTGACTGGAATAGCGACTGAGTGGTCGAGCGAGTAACTGGACTAGCGACTGAGGTGTCGAGCGAGTGACTGAACTAGCGACTGAGTGACTGAACGAGTGACTGAACTAGCGACTGAGTGGTCGAGCAAGTGACTGGACTAGTGACTGAGTGACTGAACTAGCGACTGAGTGGTCGAGGGAGTGACTGGACTAGCGGCTGAACTAGCGACTGAGTGGTCGAGCGAGTAACTGGACTAGCGACTGAGTGGTCGAGCGAGTGACTGAACTAGCGACTGAGTGACTGAACTAGCGACAGTGGTCGAGCGAGTGACTGGACTAGGCGACTGAGTGACTGAACTAGCTACAGTGGTCGAGCGAGTGACTGGACTAGCGATTGAGTGACTGAACTAGCGACTGAGTGGTCGAGCGAGTGACTGAACTAGCGACTGAGTGGCCGAGCGAGTGACTGGACGAGCAAGCGCTGGACACTGTGTCTCCCCCCATCTCCCCCTCCCTCCCACCACTGTCCTCCCACCCGGCCGACCCCCACCCACGGCGGTAAGGGGTGGGGGTGGGGTTAACGCCGTGGACGTCTCCCCGGGCACGGGGTGGGGAGGCGGAGTCTGTCCCACGGCTGGGCAGGGGCCCAGGCACGGCAGCGGCCTAGACCCCAAGGTTTTCGTGGTTCCACAAATGGTCAAAAACTCCGACGCTCTATCGGTGGCTCGCGAGATGTTGACCACCTCGCCAGGTGCGCGGGAGGTCGCTTGTTCTATCCCGACCGTGTGAGATGTTAACAACCTCGCCTAGTACACAGGACGTCGCGGGTTATATCCCGTGACCCTGTGAGATGTTAACAACTTTGCCAAGTACACAGGTTATGGGTTCTATCCAGACACTGACGTCTGCTGTATATTTGGAGTCTGCGTCTCTCATCATCATCATGGTGGCTTGGGGGATGTTAACCATCTCGTCCGGTATTCGGGAGGCTGTGGGTTCCATCCTGTGAACCAGACGATGCCTGCTGCTGCTGTATATTTGGAGTCTGCGTCTCTCTCTCATCATCATCACGGTGGCTAGGAAATGTTGACTACCTCGCCTGGCCTACAGGAGGTCGTGGGTTCCATCCCGTGACCCTGACGATGCCAGCTGCTGCTGCTATATATTTGGAGATAAGGTCGAGCTAGCTGCTATCATTTGTGATGGCCAGGCCACGTCTGAAAGAGCTACACAGCAGCTCAGTGTACTAGCGAGTGTCTGGGTGAGGTGTCTGGGTGAGTGTTTGTGTGAGTGATGTCTGGGTGATTGAGTGTCTGGGTGAGTGAGTGTGCGGGTGAGTGAGTGTGCGGGTGAGTGAGTGTGCGGATGAATGTCTGGGTGAGTGCCTGGGTGAGTGAGTGTCTGGGTGAGTGCCTGGGTGTCTAGTGAGTGTCTGGGTGAGTGAGTGTCTGGGTGAATGAGGTCTGGGTGAATGAGTCTGGGTGAATGAGTCTGGGTGAATGAGTCTGGGTGAATGAGTCTGGGTGAATGAGTGTGCGGGTGAGTGTGCGGGTAAGTGTGGCGGGTGAGTGAGTGTCTGGGCGAGTGTCTGGGCGAATGAGTGCGGGCGAGTGAGTGTGCGGGTGAGTGAGTGTGCAGGCGAGTGCCTGGGTGAGTGTCGGGGTGAGTGTCCGAGTGAGTGAGTGTCTGGGTGAGTGCCTGGTTGTCTAGGTGAGTGTCTGGGTGAGTACCTGGGTGTCTAGGTGAGTGTCTGGGTAGTGTCTGGTGAATTAGTGTCTAGGTAAGTGCCTGGGTGTCTAGGTGAGTGCCTGGGTGAGTGTCTGGGTGGGTGAGTGAGTGTCTGGGTGAGGTGTCTGGGTGGGGTGAGTGTCTGGGCGAGTGAGTGTCTGGGCGAGTGTCTGGGTGGGTGAGTGTCTGGGTGAATGAGTCTGGGTGAGTGAGTGTGCGGGTGAGTGAGTGTGTGGGTGAGAGCCTGGGTGAGTGCCTGGGGTGAGTGTCTGGGTGAGTGAGTGTCGGGTGAGTGTCTGAGTGAATGTCTGGGTGAGTGCCTGGGTGTCTAGGCGAGTGTCTGGGTAAGTGTCTGGGTGAGTGAGTGCCTGGGTGTCTAGGTGAGTGTCTGGGTGAGTGTCTGGGTGAATGAGTGTCTGGGTGAGTGCCTGGGTGTCTCTAGGTGAGTGTCTGGGTGAGTGAGTGTCTGGGTGAATGAGTCTGGGTGAGTGAGTGTGCAAGTGAGTGTGCGGGTGAGTGTACGGGTGAGTGTCTGGGTGAGTGAGTGTGCGGGTGAGTGTCTGGGCGAGTGAGTGTTGGGGTGAGTGTCTGAGTGAGTGTCTGGGTGAGTGCCTGGGTGTCTGGGTGAGTGCCTGGGTGTCTAGGTGAGTGTCTGGGTGAGTGAGTATCTGGGTGACTGAGTCTGGGTGAGTGAGTGTGCGGGTGAGTGAGTGTGTGGGTGAGTGCCTGTGCCTGGGTGAGTGTCTGGGTGAGTGTCCTGGGTGAGTGAGTGTCTGGGTGAATGAGTCTGAGTGAGTGTTTGGGTGAGTGTCTTGTTGAGTGGATTTGCAGGTGAGTGTGCGAGTGTCTGGTTGAGTGTCTGGTTAGGCGAGTGTCTGGTTGAGTGGGTGAGTGGGTGAGGGAGTGTGTGGGTGAGGGAGTGTGTGGGTGAGTGGGTGAGCGAGTGGGTGAGTGTCTGAGTGAGTGGGTGAGTGTCTGAGCGTGTGACTGTCTGAGCCTGTGGGTGACTGTCTGAGCGTGTGGGTGACTGTCTGAGCCTGTGGGTGACTGTCTGAGCGTGTGGGTGAGTGGTGAGCGTGTGGGTGAGTGGGTGAGCGTGTGGGTAAGCGCCCGCCAGGCCCGCCAACTCACTTCCCCGAGAGGTCCGTGACGTGCACAAACGTGTCATTGAAGGAGGCGAAGATGTGAGCCACTCCGAAGACATTCTCGCCCTCGGCCACCTGCGGGCCCAGGCTGATCACCTGCTCCTCCTTCTTTTCCTTGCCCTTGCGAGGAGCCATCGCTGATGACGCTTGAAGTGGGGTGGTTGGCGGTGAGGATTTGTCTGCATGCACACGCACGGAGACACGAGGTGAGACAGAGAAACACGCGGTGAGACAGAGAAACACGCGGTGAGGCAGAGAGACACGCGGTGAGGCAGAGAGACACGCGGTGGACCCGAGAGACACGCGGTGAGACAGAGAGACAGGCGGTGAGACAGAGAGAAACAGACAAACTGAGACAGAGCCATCGCTGACGACACTCGCCGTGGGACGGGCGGGGTGGTGGTTTGCCTGTGCGCAAACGCTGGGAGAGATACAACGCGGTGGGACAGAGAGAGAGACAGAGAGACACACGCGGTGAGACAAACAGACAGAGACACAAGCGTGAGACAAGAGACATTGACAGCGATTATTTGAACCGGTCCTGGGCCTCCGCTAGGTCGACTCAGCTTAAAACGAGTACCCTGGTGTAGCGGTGGTGGTGATGGTAATGATGGTGTAGCGGTGGTGGTGGCAATGGTGTAGCGGTGGTGGTGATTGTGATGATGGTGGTAATGATGGTGTAGCGGTGGTGATTGTGATGGTAATGATGGTGTAGCGATGGTGGTGATTGTGATGATGGTGTAGCGTTGGTGGTGATTGTGGTGATGATGGTGGTAATGATGGTGGTGGTAATGATGGGTGTAGCGGTGGTGGTGTAGTGAACAATGCTAGCACTTGGGGAGATAAAGCGGCCGGGCGTGGTGCTGGTAGCCACCCACCCCCTGTGTGTGCCACAGTGCCGGTAAGCCTTCACAGGTAGCTGCTGCTGCTACTCGCTAACAGCACTTACCCCTACAGCCTATTAGGGGCTACGCGGGGGATCTGTCTCTGTATCAACGTCTGTTTGAGCGTGTCTGTTGTGTTCACGTGATGGTGTCTCTACCCTGCATGTCGTCTAGCCCACGTGTTCCCGTCTCAGTGTGACCACCACCGACATCACCACCGTGGTCTATCCACTGCTGGATGGGGATCAACGTGATGGTGGTGTCTCTACCCTGTGTGTCGACTAGCCCACGTGTTGGTGTCTGTCTCAGTGTGACCACCATCACCAGTGGTCTATCCACTGCTGGATGGGGATCAACGTGATGGTGGTGTCTCTACCCTGTGTGTCGACCAGCCCACGTGTTGGTGTCTGTCTCAGTGTGACCATCACCAGTGGTCTATCCACTGCTGGACGGGGATCAACGTGGTGGTGACGGTGGTGGTGTCTCTGCCCTGTGTCGAACAGCCCACGTATTGGTGTCTGTCTCAGTGTGACCACCATCACCAGTGGTCTATCCACTGCTGGAGACCAAAATAAGACACTCGCACAGAGACACACACAAGACGAAGATCCCCCGTGTAGCCTCTTAACAGGCTGTAGAGGCAAATGCTGTTAGCGAGCACCTATGAAGGCTTACCGGCACTGTGGGCACACGCAGAGGGGGTTGGGTGGCTCCCAGCACCACGCCCGGCCGCCTTTGTCTCTCTTAGTGCTAGTGATGTTCACTACACCGCCACACCAGGTGCTCATTTGAGGCTGAGTCGACCTTGGGGAGGCCCAGGACCGGTTCAGATAATCGTCACTGAGTGGTGTTGGCCGTGAGCGGGAATCGAACTCGGGTCGCCGGGATCATAGCGCAGCGTAGAGCTAACCATTACTACACTACCGCTACACACACACACAGCCACTCAGACACACGTGGACACACAGACACTCACGGTCACACATAGACAGACACACAGACACTCACGGTCACACACACAGACAGACACACAGACACTCACGGTCACACACAGACAGACACACAGACACTCACGGTCACACAGACACTCACGGTCCACCACAGACAGACACACACTCACGGTCACACATAGACACACAGACACTCACGGTCACACATAGACACACAGACACTCACGGTCACACATAGACACTCACGGTCACACATAGACAGACACACATAGACACATACACAGCCATTCACACACAGACACTCACACATGGACACAAGACACACGCGGTCACACACAGCCACTCACACACATACAGCCACACACTCACACACACACGTGGACACAGACACACGCGGTCCACACACAGCCACACACAAACATACGCAGCCACACACACATAGATACTCACACACACACATAGAAAAGACACCGACCGAAGCGAACAGAGCCTGAGGCCTAAGCCTAGCCAAGGCCTAACCTAGGCCCGCGGCGCGCCGTGAAGACTTCCCAACCAAGTGCCCTCACGACGCCGATTAAAGTTTCAAGTTTTTAGGTTTTTTTCCGACGCAAACACTAAAAGGCGGCACCGGCCACGTCGGGCGGGACGTCGGCGCGGGCGACTTTTAGCGACGGATGGCGACGGATGATGAGGCGATCACGAACCTGGGACAGGGAGAGACCACTGGTGGCCTGCGCTGAGCCGAGCGCGCGAAAGAAGGAGCGAGGGGAGGGGCCTGGTGGGGGGCGATGACGGGGTGAGGGGGAGGGGCAAACCCCGCCCAAGTCTCGCGAGAAAGGCTAATGTGAAGGATGCGGGTGCGTGGTGGGGGGGGGAGTAGGTATGAGATCTCGCGAGAGTTTGATGACGAGCGGGCAACTCTCCACCGCCACAAAAAAAGGGGGGAGGGGAACGGGTGCGAGATCTCGCGAGCGGCACCTCCCCCTCCACCAAACAAAAGGGGGGGTGGGGAGATGCGAGATCTCGCGAGAGTTCGTTGACGAGCGGCACTCCACAAGACAAAAAAGGGAGGGGGGGGGAAGTACGAGATCTCGCGAGAGTTTGTTGGCGAGCGGGACCTCCCCCCTCCACCAAACAAAAGGGGGGGGGGGGAGGGGCGCGAGATCTTGCGCGAATTTGTGGTGGAGGCGACGGCGGCGGAGACGAGTTTCTCGCGACACTTTCGCCTGCATGCTGAAGCGGCGTCTCGCGGGTCGTTGACCTGAAATCCCGCGCTAGTTTAGCTGCGACACGCGAGACTTGGAATGGGCGGGAATATGACCACCATCTTACCTGGGGATGTTTAATTATGGTCACCATCTTACCTGGGGATGTGTAATTATGGTCACCATCTTACTAGGGGATGTGTAATTATTGTCACCATCTTACCTGGGGATGTATAAATATGGTCACCATCTTACCTGGGGATGTGTAATTATGGTCACCATCTTACTAGGGGATGTGTAATTATTGTCACCATCTTACCTGGGGATGTATAAATATGGTCACCATCTTACCTGGGGATGTGTAATTATGGTCACCATCTTACCTGGGGATGTGTAATTATGGTCACCATCTTACCTGGGGATGTGTAATTATGGTCACCATCTTACTAGGGGATGTGTAATTATTGTCACCATCTTACCTGGGAAGTGTAATTATGGTCACCATCTTACCTGGGGATGTGTAATTATGGTCACCATCTTACTGGGGATGTGTAATTATGGTCACCATCTTACCTGGGGAGGTGTAATTATGGTCACCATCTTACCTGGGGATATATAAATATGGTCACCATCTTACATGGGGATGTGTAATTATTGTCACCATCTTACCTGGGGATGTGTAATTATAGTCACCATCTTACCTGGGGATGTGTAATTATGGTCACCATCTTACTCGGGGATGTGTAATTATGGTCACCATCTTACTAGGGGATGTGTAATTGTGGTCACCATCTTACGTGGGGATATGTAATTATGTGCACCATATTACTAGGGGATGTGTAATTATGATCACCATCTTACTAGGGGATGTGTAATTATGGTTACCATCTTACCTGGGGGTGTGTTATTATGGTCACCATCTTACCTGAGGATGTGTAATTATGGTCACCATCTTACTCGGGGATGTGTAATTATGGTCACCATCTACTAGGGGATGTGTAATTGTGGTCACCATCTTACGTGGGGATATGTAATTATGGGCACCATATTACTAGGGGATGTGTAATTATGGTCACCATCTTACTAGGGGATGTGTAATTATGGTCACCATCTTACCTGGGGGTGTGTAATTATGCTCACCATCTTACCTGGGGATGTGTAATTATGGTCACCATCTTACCTGGGGATGTATAAATATGGTCACCATCTTACATGGGGATGTGTAATTATTGTCACCATCTTACCTGGGGATGTGTAATTATGGTCACCATCTTACCTGGGGAGTGTAATTATGGTCACCATCTTACTCGGGGATGTGTAATTATGGTCACCATCTTACTAGGGGATGTGTAATTGTGGTCACCATCTTATGTGGGGATAAGTAATTATGGGCACCATATTACTAGGGGATGTGTAATTATGGTCACCATCTTACTACGGGATGTGTAATTATGGTCACCATCTTACCCGGGGGTGTGTTATTATGGTCACCATCTTACTAGGGGATGTGTAATTGTGGTTACCATCTTACCTGGGGGATGTGTAATTCTGGTCCACCATCTTCCTAGGGGATGTGTAATTATGGTCACCATCTTACTAGGGGATGTGTAATTATGGTCACCATCTTACCTGGGGGTGTGTAATTATGGTCACCATCTTACCTGGGGATGTGTAATTATGGTCACCATCTTACCTGGGGTGTGTAATTATGCTCACCATCTTACCTGGGGATGTGTAATTATGGTCACCATCTTACCTGGGGATGTATAAATATGGTCACCATCTTACATGGGGATGTGTAATTATTGTCCACCATCTTACCTGGGGATGTGTAATTATTGTCACCATCCTTACCTGGGGATGTGTAATTATGGTCACCATCTTACTAGGGGATGTGTAAATATGGTCACCATCTTACATGGGGATGTGTAATTATTGTCACCATCTTACCTGGGGATGTGTAATTATTGTCACCAATCTTACCTGGGGATGTGTAATTATGGTCACCATCTTACTAGGGGATGTGTAAATTATGGTCACCATCTTACTAGGGGATGCGTAATTATGGTCACCATCTTACTAGGGGATGTGTAATTGTGGTCACCATCTTACGTGAGCATATGTAATTATGGGCACCATATTACTAGGGGATGTGTAATTATGGTCACCATTTTACTAGGGGATGTGTAATTATGGTCACCATCTTACTCGGGGATGTGTAATTATGGTCACCATCTTACTAGGGGATGTGTAATTGTGGTTACCATCTTACGTGGGGATATGTAATTATGGGCACCATATTACTAGGGGGATGTTAATTATGGTCACCATCTTACTAGGGGATGTGTAATTATGGTCACCATCTTACCTGAGGGTGTGTAATTATGGTCACCATCTTACCTGGGGATGTGTAATTGTGGGTCACCATCTTACCTGGGGATGTGTAATTGTGGGCACCGTATTACTAGGGGATGTGTAATTATGGTCACCATCTTACCTGGGGATGTGTAATTGTGGTCACCATCTTACCTGGGGATGTGTAATTGTGGGCACCGTATTACTAGGGGATGTGTAATTATGGTCACCATCTTACTAGGGGATGTGTAATTATGGTCACCATCTTACCTGGGGGTGTGTAATTATGGTCACCATCTTACCTGGGGGTGTGTAATTATGGTCACCATCTTACCTGGGGATGTGTAATTATGGTCACCATCTTACTGGGGATGTCTAATTATGGTCACCATCTTACCTGGGAATAGTAAATAAGGCCACCATCTTTCATTGGGGGAATCTAATGTTCATGCTGTCAACCTACAAACATAATTCAACACCATGGGACCCTTGCTTGCAGGTATCAGAATATGTGAATAAGTGCTCATGTTACTGCATTAACCACTAAACTTGCAGTCAAAATGCAACAAAAAAACACACCGTGATAACATATGGTGCATTGTCCTTGAAACTGATTGGTCCACACCAAGGGACGGCTTTCTTTTGAGCCTCGAACCAATTGGTGCTCGACCAGATGACGCCAAAAGGCGTCACACAGCTCAAAGACAACGCCACTATCAAAGTAATGAGGCTCGGGGTGAGCATCTACATCATTAGACCTCCTTTGCGAGTACCAAAATATAATAATCTTTGAGCTGGGTAACGCCTTTTGGCGTCCTCTGGTCGAGCACCAATTGGGTCGAGGCTCAAAAGAAAGCCGTCCCTTGGTGTGGACCAATCAGTTTCAAGGACAATGCCACATATATTATCATAGTATGTTTTTTGTTTGCATTTTGACTGCAAGTTTAGTGGTTCATGCAGTAAACATGAATCCTTGTTAAAAAAAGTTTCAGTTTGTTGCCAAGAAAAAAAGGGAGAAAAAACACCCTATTAGTACGTGAATAAGGTTTGACCCTTTCCCGCAGTGATTAAACGGGAGGTGTGGTAAGAGGTTAAAACAAGAAACAGAAACCTTTCGCAAGGAATCAATGCCACTGCATTAACCTTGCAAAAGACGACGCTTCACGTGAACCTCGTGGCGAGACTCCAGGGGGGGTCCCATAAGCCCCCCCCCCCCCGGGCCCTCGCACAAACAGCGTCGCGACGTTCATGTTACGTCTCGACTGGAAGAAGCTTTCGTGACTGCAGGAATTAATATTCTTTGGGTCTTTCGGTAAAGTCCACGTAGCTGGGGGTCACGTAAGGCAGACAAAATAATCGATCACGACGCTTCGATCGCAACGCAAGCGAACGTCTTCACCGGACATTATATCGATCCGAGAGGGGAGGCCGTAACGGGCGGGAGGTTTGGCAGTGAACTTCAAAGAGGGCTGAGGTGAGAGAGAGGAAAAAAGGAAAATAAATCTTGGATATCAAACTTAACAAAACTTCGAAATGTAATGCAACTCAGAAGAGTCGGCCAACACAGCAGCTGACACTTCACCTGATTGATCGACGTCCTTCCAAAGATTGCTAAGCTCCGCGTCCATCTTCTCGGCTGAAGGGACGTCCGAGTTGCTCGGAAATCCTTCACCGCAGAGGCGGTTCGATCTGTGACTTGAAGCGTTCGTGACTGCAGGGATCCAATACTCTTTAATTCTTTCGGTGAAGTCACGGAGGTAGGAAAGGCTCACGACAGATCACGACGTTTCGCTCGCGACAGCAAGCGACCGTCCGTCTTCAGGTGAGAGAATCAGACTGCTGCGGACGAGGCAACTAATAATCGATTGAAACGTCGCGATCCATACATATATATATTTTTTCTGCCGCTGCCGTCCGTCGCACACCGACGCCGCCGCATTCTCCTCGGGCCTCGCGGTGAAGGCACGTCCGGTTAGAAAAGCTGAGACACTTTGTAGGGGAGGGGGCACGTCTTTATCATCCACACGTACCCTAACCACTAAACATCAGTTCTTCATACAGTTGATCTTGAGGACCTCTTCCACTTGGTATATTATACGCCTCCTGTTTAGCGTGCCTAACCCCGACTACGCTCCAGGTCCTCCGGCTATAATATAACTATGTGAGACTACCTGACCTGACCCGGCCAAGGTACAGGTCCAACACTGACACCTCACAGAGCTTCGGCCCTTAAGAGACGGCGAAGCTAGTGGGGGTTCAGAGTCCTACTCTAGCAGCGTCTTCTTTCTTCAACTGGTTATCTTCAACTGCTTCCGTCTCCAACTGCTTCGGTTCTGTAACGGAGGTTTGGAGCTTCCGCGCGAGCCCGGCGGTGCCACCCAGAATTGGCCCAAATTTGTTTGGCCGCCCGCTGAGGGCTCGCAGTCCGCGCGTCGGGTCTCTCCGCCGGGTCACATTTGGGGACGCACCACGGCGGTTGTCGATCGGGCCTGACCGCGATCGTCTCGCAGCCTCGACGATGGGATGGCGGAGCCGTCGGGGGTAGGGGGGGCGGCGCACGTGTTTGACGGGCCGACGTGTTTCTGGTCGACGAGAGGCTCGCGCAGCGGCGCCAGTCGCTGATCTCGGCGAAAGGCGGTTGACACTGCAAACACTACACTACACTATACACTACTACACACTACACTATACTATACACTACACTATACACTACTACACACTACACTATACACTACACTATACACTACACTACTATACACAACACTACACTATACATTACACACTACACTATACACTACACACTGCACTATACACTACACTACACACTGCACTATACACTACACACACACTACACTACACACACACTACACATACAGACTTTGCCCCCAGCAAGCGTGAACATTTTTTATTTTGATCTGAAGCTCTCCCTTTATATTTGCAGACGTCAGAGACACGGGGTGAGACACGGGGGTGAGGCACGGGGGTGAGACACGGGGGGAGACACGGGGGAGACACGGGGGGAGACACGGGGGAGACACGGGGAGACACGGGGGGAGACACGAGGGGAGACACGGGGGGAGACACGGGGGTGAGACACGGAGGGGACACGGGGGGAAGACACGGGGGTGAGACACGGGGGTGAGACACGGGGGTGAGACACGGGGGTGAGACACGGGGGTGAGACACGGGGGTGAGACACGGGGGTGAGACACGGGGGTGAGACACGGAGGGGACACGGGGGGAGACACGGGGGAGACATGGGGGAGACACGGGGTGAGACACGGGGGTGAGACACGGAGGGGACACGGGGGGGAGACACGGGGGGAGACACGGGGAGACACGGGGGAGACATGGGGGAGACACGGGGTGAGACACGGGGGGTGAGACACGGAGGGGACACGGGGGGGAGACACGGGGGGAGACACGGGGGAGACACGGGGGGGAGACACGGGGGAGCAACGGGGGGAGACACGAGGGGAGACACGGGGGGAGACACGGGGGTGAGACACGGAGGGGACACGGGGGGAAGACACGGGGGGAGACACGGGGGGAGACACGGGGGGAGGACACGGGGGGAGACATGGGGGAGACACGGGGGGAGACACGGGGGAGACACGGGGAGACACGGGCGGAGACACGGGGGTGGGGACAACGGAGGGGACACGGGGGGGGGAGACACGGAGGGGACACGGGGGGGGAGACACGGGCGGAGACATGGGCGGAGACACGGGAGGAGACACGGGGGGAGACACGGGGGGAGACACGGGAGGAGACACGGGGGAGACACGGGGGGAGACACGGGAGGAGACACGGGCGGAGACACGGGCGGAGACACGGGGGGGAGACACGGGGGAGACACGGGAGGAGACACGGGCGGAGACACGGGCGGAGACACAGGCGGAGACACGGGGGAGACACGGCGGAGACACGGGAGGAGACACGGGTGGAGACACGGGCGGAGACACAGGCGGAGACACGGGGAGAGACACGGGGGGAGACACGGGGGGGAGACACGGGGGAGACACGGGAGGGAGACACCGCGGAGACATGGGCGGAGACACAGGCGGAGACACGGGGGGAGACACGGCGGAGACACGGGGGTGGGACACGGAGGGGACACGGGGGGGAGACACGGGCGGAGACACGGGGGGGAGACACAGGCGGACACACGGGGGGGAGACACGGGGGAGACACGAGGGGAGACACGGGGGAGACACGAGGGGAGACACGGGGGAGACACGGGCGGAGACACGGGGGAGACACGAGGGGAGACACGGGGGGAGACACGGGGGAGACACGGGAGAGACACGGGCGGAGACACGAGGGGAGACACGGGGGAGACACGGGGGTGAGACACGGAGGGGACACGGGGGGGAAGACACGGGGGGAGACACGGGGGGGAGACACGGGGGAGACATGGGGGGAGACACGGGGGGAGACACGGGGGAGACACGGGCGGAGACACGGGGGTGGGACACGGAGGGGACACGGGGGGGGGAGACACGGAGGGGACACGGGGGGGAGACACGGGCGGAGACACGGGCGGAGACACGGGGGGAGACAGACGGGGGGAGACACGGGGGGAGACACGGGGGGAGACACGGGGGAGACACGGGGGGAGACACGGGAGGAGACACGGGCGGAGACACGGGCGGAGACACGGGGGGAGACACGGGGGAGACACGGGAGGAGACACGGCGGAGACACGGGCGGAGACACAGGCGGAGACACGGGGGGAGACACGGCGGAGACACGGGAGGAGACACGGGTGGAGACACGGGCGGAGACACAGGCGGAGACACGGGGAGAGACACGGGGGGAGACACGGGGGAGACACGGGAGGAGACACCGGCGGAGACATGGGCGGAGACACAGGCGGAGACACGGGGGGAGACACGGCGGAGACACGGGGGTGGGACACGGAGGGGACACGGGGGGGAGACACGGGCGGAGACACGGGGGGGAGACACAGGCGGACACACGGGGGGAGACACGGGGGAGACACGAGGGGAGACACGGGGGAGACACGAGGGGAGACACGGGGGAGACACGGGCGGAGACACGGGGGAGACACGAGGGGAGACACGGGGGGAGACACGGGGGAGACACGGGAGAGACACGGCGGAGACACGAGGGGAGACACGAGGGGAGACACGACATCCGCGACGTCTGCTGGGATGCGCGTTCGGAGGGTGAGTGAGTGGGTGGGTGGGTGAGTGGGTGGGTGGGTGAGTGAGTGGGTGGGTGAGTGGGTGGGTGGGTGAGTGGGTGGGTTGGGTGAGTGGTTTAGTTGGTGGGTGGGTGAGTGGTTTAGTTGGTGGTGGGTGGGTGAGTGGGTGGTGAGTGGGTGAGTGTTTAGTTGGGGGGTTGGTGAGTGGGTGGGTGAGTGGGTGAGTGGTTTAGTTAGTGGGTGGGTGAGTAGATGGGTGGGCGAGTGGGTGGGTGAAGGGGTGAAGGGGCAGGCAGGGAGGGCTACTTCTGCTGTCCAGTGCGACGAGCGTGTTGGACAGAGCGCACTCGATGGGACAGGCGCTGTGCAGTGGTGGTGATGTGAGTGGTGGTGGTGTGAGTGGTGATGTGAGTGGTGATGTGAGTGGTGTGAGTGGTGTGAGTGGTGGTGGTGAGAGTGGTGGTGGTGGTGGTGTTAGTAGTAGTGGTGTTAGTGGTGGTGTTAGTGGTGGTGTTAGTAGTAGTGGTGTTAGTGGTGGTGTTAGTGGTGGTGTTAGTGGTGGTGGTGGTGTTAGTGGTGGTGGTGTTAGTGGTGGTGTTAGTAGCCGGGCTGCCCTGGGAGACACCCAACGTCTCCATCACTGCACATCTTTAAGACTGCGACTTCCACATCTTGTCTCGGCAGTACTCAGTGGCCTGTGGAGGGCAGGGGGAGGGCAGAGAAGAGGGGAGGTCATCACACAGCCCTGCTAGAGGCTACCTGGGGGATCTTTGTCTGTGTTTGTGTAACTGCACTTGCCCTACAGCCCTGCTAGAGGCTACCTGGGACAGCTTTGTCTGTGCGTGTGTAACTGCACTTGCCCCTGCAGCCCTGCTAGAGGCTACCTGTGACAGCCTTGTCTGTATTCTTAGCTCTTTCGGTAAAGTCACGTTGAAGGGAAACAATAAAATAATAAAATATATAAAACAATAAAAAATTCTCAGGACGTTTCGACCATAACACAAACGGTCGTCATCAGGTGTGTCGGTTCGCATTAATTTATTATTTTTAAACGGTGTATTTATCTATAAAAAAAAAGTCAGCGCCACGCGCAGCGATTTGGCAGTGTATTTAGAAGGACTAGTCCATCTATGTTCTGAAAAGAGGAGGGGGGAGACGAAAAATTAATGTATGCTGTCTGAAAGCCACTGTAAGCGTGAACAATCAATTAAGACCTGAAATGGTTTATCAAATCCTTCCAATGATTGCTAAGCCAGAATCCATCTTCTTGGTTGAAATTGTCTCTGTGCTTGTATATGTGGATAGCCTCATGAACGAATCTCTCATGGTAGCCAGATGGCTTACAAAGAACCTCTGTTTTGGAAAAGTCAATGTCATGTGAGCCTACTGAATTATAACAATGATCTGCCACGGCCGAGGTGTTGGTCCTACCGTGTTTAAGGTCTGCTTTGTGTTCACGAATGCGGTCCGAGACATGGCGTTTGGTTTCTCCAATGTAACTACTACCACAGAGGCAACTTAGTTTGTAGACACCAGGGTACTGTATGTCCGGAATCACATCTTTTACAGACGGAACCAGATCACGTATTTTATGTAATGTGTTGAAACGGACCTGGATCTTGTGTTTATTCAAGATTATGGAGATATTTTTTGTGATCCCCAGCAATGTAGGGTAAAGTGATGGTTTTGAAAGGCTCCTCAAGAGGGTCCTTCTTCATGGTTTGAGTGATAGCTTTGCGGATTGTATAGTCGGAGTAACCATTAGCCTTAAGAGCTTGGTGTACGTGCTTGAGTTCACTGCTTATGTGTTCCTGGTCGGATATGCATTGGGCTCTATGATACAGAGTCTTGATGAGAGAATTCTTCTGTGATGGATGGAGGTGGGAATCCGGTTTCAGATAAGCATCCGTATGGGTAGCTTTCCTGTAGACAGAGTGGCTCATTGAACCATCAGGTCTCTTTTTAATTAGGACATCCAAAAAAGGTAGCTTGCCATCTTTTTCGACTTCCATGGTAAATCTGATGGCTGGGTGTATGGAATTGATGTGGTCGAAGAATTGGTCTAGAGCAGGCCGGCCATGTGGCCAGATGACAAAAGTGTCATCCACGTACCTCTTCCATAAGGTTGGGCGCAGAGTGGCAGTCTGGATGGCGTCAGTCTCAAATTTCTCCATGAAAATGTTAGCTATAACTGGAGAATGGGGGGGAGCCCATTGGGGTGCCCTCAGTTTGTTTGTAGAAAGTTCCATTCCAAGTGAAGTATGTATTGGTTAAACAGTGTCTCACCAGGGGGGGTACCTCAGTGTTTAGTCCTTGATGAACCAAGTCTTCAATGATTGCGATGGTGTCAGGTACAGGAACCTTGGTGAATAAGGAAACTACATCAAAACTGACAAGCAGGTCGTCTGGGGACAGGGAAATACCCTTGATTGTCGATACCAGGTGAGTAGAATTTTGTACCGTAGAGGTGGTTTTTCCAGTGAAAGGACAGCAGGATTTCAGACAAAAAACGAGCCAGTTTGTAGGTGGGGGAGTTGATAGTAGAGACGATGGGACGAAGGGGTGTATCTACTTTATGTATTTTGGTAAGCCGTATAATCTTGGTGGCCTGGCAGCAGAAGGTTTCCAACGAAAACTGTTTAGATTGATCAATTAATGCGGTTGAATCAGAAATTATTTTGTTGGTTTGTGTGACGAGGCTGTTGGTGGGATCTCTTTTTATTTTTGTATAACTACCATCGTCGAGTAATTCTTTAATTTTGTTGTTGTATTCTATTTTATCCATGATGACAGTAGCATTGCCTTGTCAGCTGAGAGGACTACAATATCATCCCTCTTTTTTAATTTATATAATTCAAAACGCGCATCTTTGCTGAGGTTGCTAGCTGGCATCTTAGCGTTTTTGAGGGTTGCAGCGATTTCAGATCTTGCTATGTCTGCAACGATGTGTCTGTGTCTGTGTAACTGAACTTGCCCCTACAGCCCTGCTAGAGGCTATCTGGGGGATCTTTGTCTGTGTCTGTGTAACTGCACTTGCCCCTACAGCCCTGTTAGAGGCTACCTGGGGCAGCTTTGTCTGTGTGAGTGTGACAGCACTTGCCCCTGCAGCCCTGCTAGAGGCTACCTGTGACAGCTTTGTCTGTGTCTGTGTAACTGCACTTGCCCCTACAGCCCTGCTAGAGGCTATCTGGGGGATCTTTGTCTGTGTCTGTGTAACTGCACATGCCCCTACAGCCCTGCTAGAGGCTACCTGGGGGATCTGTGTCTGCGTCTGTGTAACTGCACTTGCCCCTACAGCCCTGCTAGAGGCTACCTGTGACAGCTTTGTCTGTGTCTGTGTAACTGCACTTGCCCCTACAGACCTGCTAGAGGCTACCTGTGACAGCTTTGTCTGTGTCTGTGTAACTGCACTTGCCCCTGCAGCCCTGCTAGAGGCTACCTGTAACAGCTTTGTCTGTGTTTGTGTAACTGCACTTGCCCCTGCAGCCCTGCTAGAGGCTACCTGTAACAGCTTTGTCTGTGTTTGTGTAACTGCACTTGCCCCTACAGCCCTGCTAGAGGCTACCTGGGGCAGCTTTGTCTGTGCGTGTGTAACTGCACTTGCCCCTGCAGCCCTGCTAGAGGCTACCTGGGCAGCTTTGTCTGTGCGTGGCCTCACCCCGCAGGCGCGAGCGGTGTCAGCGTCACGGCACCAGAAGGAGGGGCCCCACGTGCAGCGACGCCCACCCACGGGGCCACGCCCACCCACGGCGCCACGCCCACCCACGGCGCCACGCCCACCCACGGCGCCACGCCCACCCACGGGGCCACGCCCATCCACGGGGGAGGAGCAGAGAGACGCGGCCTGGGAGAGGGGGAGAGGGGGGGGATTGGTGGTGGTGGTTGTGGTTGTTGTGGTGGTGGTGGTTGTGGTGGTGGTTGTGGTGGTTGTGGTGGTGGTTGTGGTGGTGGTGGTTGGTGTGGTAATGGTGGGGTTGTTGTGGTGGTGGTTGTGGTGGTTGTTGTGGTGGTTGTGGTTGTGGTGGTGGTGGTTGTGGTTGTTGTGGTGGTTGTTGTGGTGGTTGTGGTGGTTGTGGTAATGTGGTGGTTGTGGTGGTAGTGGTGGTGGTTGTGGTGGTGGTTGTGGTTGTTGTAGTGGTGGTGGTGGTGGTGGTTGTGGTTGTTGTAGTAGTGGTGGTGGTTGTGGTTGTTGTAGTAGTTGTGTCTGTGATGGTTGTGGTTGTGGTGGTGGTTGTGGTGGTGGTTGTAGTAGTTGTTGTAGTGGTTGTGGTGGTTGTTGTGCTGGTGGTGGTTGTGGTGGTTGTTGTTGTGGTGGTTGTGGTTATTGTTGTGGTTGTGGTGGTGGTTGTTGTTGTGGTGGTTGGTGTGGTGGTAGTGGTGTTGGTAGTGGATTTGGTGGTGGTGGTTTTAGTGGTGTTGTGGTGGTTGTGGTAGTGGTTGTGGTGGTGGTTGTGGTGGTTGTTGGGTGGTGGTTGGTGTGGTGGTTGTGGTGGCTGTGGTGGTTGTGGTGGTTGTGGTTGTTGTTAGTGGTGGTTGTTGTTGTGGTTGTGGTGGTTGTGGTGGTTGTTGTGGTTGTGGTGGTTGTGGTGGTTGTGGTGGTGGTTGTGGTGGTGGTTGTGGTGGTGGCTGTGGTGGCTGTGGTTGTTGTAGTTGTGGTGGTTGTTGTTGTGGTGGTTGTTGTGGTTGTGGTGGTTGTGGTGGTGGTTGTGGTGGTGGTTGTTGTGGTGGTGGTGGTTGTTGTAGTTGTGGTGGTTGTTGTTGTGGTTGTTGTGGTTGTGGTGGTTGTGGTGGTGGTTGTGGTTGTTGTGGTTGTGGTGGTTGTGGTGTTTGTGGTGGTGGTTGTGGTGGTGTGGTGGTGGTTGTGGTGGTTGTGGTTGTTGTGGTGGGTGTGGTGGTTGTGGTGGCTGTGGTTGTTGTAGTTGTGGTGGTTGTTGTTGTGGTGGTTGTTGTGGTTGTGGTGGGTGTGGTGGTGGTTGTGGTGGGTGGTTGTTGTGGTGGTTGTGGTTGTTGTAGTTGTGGTGGTTGTTGTTGTGGTTGTTGTTGTGGTTGTGGTGGTGGTGGTGGTTGTTGTGGTTGTTGTGGTTGTGGTGGTTGTGGTGTTTGTGGTGGGGTTGTGGTGGCAGTTGTGGTGGTGGTTATGGTGGTGGTTGTGGTGTTTGTGGTGGTGGTTGTGGTGATGGTTGTGGTGGTTGTGGTGGTGGTAGTTGTGGTGGTGGTTGTGGTGGTGGTAGTTGTGGTGGTGGTGGTTGTGTGGTAGTTGTGGTTGTGGTAGTTGTGGTTGTGGTGGTGGTGGTTGTGTTACCGTGCAAGTCCTCTCAGCGCCTGAGAACTTCCTGAGGAGCTGAGCCACGAGCACTGCCCGGTTCTCCTGCAGGAGGCCGTGGCACTGAAACGGGACACACACACAGCTAGAGGCAGTGGAGACCCAGCTAGCTCTTGACCACACACACACACACACAGGTAGAGTCAAACGTCGCACGGGTAGCGCCTCTAGCAGGGCTGCAGGGGCAAGCCCTGCTAGACGCTACCTGGGGAATCTTTGTCTGTGTGAGTGTGTGGAGGCTGACCGTGGGAGCTGCGTCTGTGTGTGTGGAGTCTGACCGTGGGAGCCACGTCTGTGTGAGTGTGTGGAGGCTGACCGTGGGAACTGCGTCTGTGTGAGTGGCGTCTGACCGTGGGAGCTGCGTCTGTGTGAGTGAGTGGAGGCTGACCATGGGAGCTGCGTCTGTGTGAGTGTGTGGAGTCTGACAGTGGGAGCTGCGTCTGTGTGAGTGGAGTCTGACCGTGGGAGCTGCGTCTGTGTGTGGAGTCTGACCGTGGAGTCGCGTCTGTGTGTGGAGTTTGACCGTGGGAGTCGCGTCTATGTGTGGAGTCTGACCGTGGGAGCTGCGTCTGCGTGAGTGTGTGGAGGCTGACCGTGGGAGCTGCGTCTGTGTGAATGGAGTTTGACCGTGGGAGCTGCGTCTGTGTGAGTGTGTGGAGGCTGACCGTGGGAGCTGCGTCTGTGTGAGTGGAGTCTGACTGTGGGAGCCGCGTCTGTGTGAATGTGTGGAGTCTGACCGTGGGAGCCGCGTCTGTGTGAGTGTGTGCAGTCTGACCGTGGGAGCTGCGTCTGTGTGAGTGTGTGGAGTCTGACCGTGGGAGCTGCATCTGTGTGAGTGAGTGGAGTCTGACCGTGGGAGGCCGCGTCTGTGTGACTGTGTGGAAGGCTGACCGTGGGAGCTGCGTCTGTGTGAGTGTGTGGAGTCTGACCGTGGGAGCTGCGTCTGTGTTAGTGTGTGGAGGCTGACCGTGGTAGCTGCGTCTGTGCGAGTGTGAGGAGTCTGACCGTGGGAGCTGCGTCTGTGTGAGTGTGTGGAGTCTGACTGTGGGAGCTGCGTCTGTGTTAGTGTGTGGAGGCTGACCGTGGGAGCTGCGTCTGTGTGAGTGTGAGGAGTCTGACCATGGGAGCTGCGTCTGTGTGACTGTGTGGAGTCTGACCGTGGGAGCCGCGTTTGTGTGAGTGAGTGGAGTCTGACCGTGGGAGCCGTGTCTGTGTGAGTGTGTGGAGTCTGACAGTGGGAGCCGAGTCTGTGTCAGTGTGTGGAGTCTAACCGTGGGAGCTGCGTCTGTGTGAGTGTGTGGAGGCTGACCGTGGGAGCCGCGTCTGTGTGACTGTGTGGAGGCTGACCGTGGGAGCTGCGTCTGTGTGAGTGTGTGGAGTCTGACCGTGGGAGCTGCGTCTGTGTTAGTGTGTGGAGGCTGACCGTGGTAGCTGCGTCTGTGCGAGTGTGAGGAGTCTGACCGTGGGAGCTGCGTCTGTGTGAGTGTGTGGAGTCTGACCGTGGGAGCTGCGTCTGTGTTAGTGTGTGGAGGCTGACCGTGGGAGCTGCGTCTGTGTGAGTGTGAGGAGTCTGACCGTGGGAGCTGCGTCTGTGTGAGTGTGTGGAGTCTGACCGTGGGAGCCGCGTTTGTGTGAGTGAGTGGAGTCTGACCGTGGGAGCCGTGTCTGTGTGAGTGTGTGGAGTCTGACAGTGGGAGCCGAGTCTGTGTCAGTGTGTGGAGTCTAACCGTGGAGCTGCGTCTGTGTGAGTGTGTGGAGGCTGACCGTGGGAGCTGTGTCTGTGTGAGTGTGTGGAGGCTGACCGTGGGAGCTGCGTCTGTGTGAGTGTGTGGAGGCTGACCGTGGGAGCTGCGTCTGCGTGAGTGGAGTCTGACCGTGGGAGCTGCGTCTGTGTGAGTGTGTGGAGGCTGACCGTGCGAGCTGTGTCTGTGTGTGTGGAGTCTGACCGTGGGAGCTGCGTCTGAGTGAGTGGAGTCTGACCGTGGGAGCCACGTCTGTGTGAGTGTGTGGAGGCTGACCGTGGGAGCTGCGTCTGTGTGAGTGGAGTCTGACTGTGGGAGCCGCGTCTGTGTGAATGTGTGGAGTCTGACCGTGGGAGCTGCGTCTGCGTGAGTGTGTGGAGGCTGACCGTGGAGCTGCGTCTGTGTGAATGGAGTTTGACCGTGGGAGCTGCGTCTGTGTGAGTGTGTGGAGTCTGACCGTGGGAGCTGCGTCTGTGTGTGTGGAGTCTGACCGTGGGAGCCACGTCTGTGTGAGTGTGTGGAGGCTGACCGTGGGAGCTGCGTCTGTGTGAGTGGAGTCTGACTGTGGGAACCGCGTCTGTGTGAATGTGTGGAGTCTGACCGTGGGAGCCGCGTCTGTGTGAGTGAGTGGAGTCTGACCGTGGGAGCTGCGTCTGTGTGAGTGTGTGGAGTCTGACCGTGGGAGCTGCATCTGTGTGAGTGAGTGGAGTCTGACCGTGGGAGCCGCGTCTGTGTGACTGTGTGGAGGCTGACCGTGGGAGCTGCGTCTGTGTGAGTGTGTGGAGTCTGACCGTGGGAGCTGCGTCTGTGTTAGTGTGTGGAGGCTGACCGTGGTAGCTGCGTCTGTGCGAGTGTGAGGAGTCCTGACCGTGGGAGCTGCGTCTGTGTGAGTGTGTGGAGTCTGACCGTGGGAGCTGCGTCTGTGTTAGTGTGTGGAGGCTGACCGTGGGAGCTGCGTCTGTGTGAGTGTGAGGAGTCTGACCGTGGGAGCTGCGTCTGTGTGAGTGTGTGGAGTCTGACCGTGGGAGCCGCGTTTGTGTGAGTGAGTGCAGTCTGACCGTGGGAGCCGTGTCTGTGTGAGTGTGTGGAGTCTGACAGTGGGAGCCGAGTCTGTGTCAGTGTGTGGAGTCTAACCGTGGGAGCTGCGTCTGTGTGAGTGTGTGGAGGCTGACCGTGGGAGCCGCGTCTGTGTGACTGTGTGGAGGCTGACCGTGGGAGCTGCGTCTGTGTGAGTGTGTGGAGTCTGACCGTGGGAGCTGCGTCTGTGTTAGTGTGTGGAGGCTGACCGTGGTAGCTGCGTCTGTGCGAGTGTGAGGAGTCTGACCGTGGGAGCTGCGTCTGTGTGAGTGTGTGGAGTCTGACCGTGGGAGCTGCGTCTGTGTGAGTGTGTGGAGTCTGACCGTGGGAGCTGCGTCTGTGTGAGTGTGTGGAGTCTGACCGTGGGAGCTGCGTCTGTGTGAGTGTGTGGAGTCTGACCGTGGGAGCCGCGTTTGTGTGAGTGAGTGCAGTCTGACCGTGGGAGCCGTGTCTGTGTGAGTGTGTGGAGTCTGACAGTGGGAGCCGAGTCTGTGTCAGTGTGTGGAGTCTCACCGTGGGAGCTGCGTCTGTGTGAGTGTGTGGAGTCTGACCGTGGGAGCTGCGTCTGTGTGAGTGTGTGGAGGCTGACCGTGGGAGCTGCGTCTGTGTGAGTGTGTGGAGGCTGACCGTGGGAGCTGCGTCTGCGTGAGTGGAGTCTGACCGTGGGAGCTGCGTCTGTGTGAGTGTGTGGAGGCTGACCGTGCGAGCTGTGTCTGTGTGTGTGGAGTCTGACCGTGGAGCTGCGTCTGAAGTGAGTGGAGTCTGACCGTGGAGCTGCGTCTGCGTGAGTGGAGTCTGACCGTGGGAGCTGCGTCTGTGTGAGTGTGTGGAGGCTGACCGTGGGAGCTGCGTCTGTGTGAGTGTGTGGAGTCTGACCTGTGCAGCCGCGTCTGTGTGAGTGTGTGGAGTCTGACCGTGGGAGCTGCGTCTGTGTGAGTGGAGTCTGACCGTGGTAGCTGCGTCTGTGTGAGTGTGTGGAGGCTGACCGTGGGAGATGCGTCTGTGTGAGTGTGTGGAGTCTGACCGTGGGAGATGCGTCTGTGTGAGTGTGTGGAGTCTGACCGTGGGAGCCGCGTCTGTGTGAGTGGAGTCTGACCGTGGTAGCTGCGTCTGAGTGTGTGGAGTCTGACCGTGGGAGATGCGTCTGTGTGAGTGGAGTCTGACCGTGGGAGCTGCGTCTGCGTGAGTGGAGTCTGACCGTGGGAGCTGCATCTGTGTGAGTGTGTGGAGTCTGACCGTGGGAGATGCGTCTGTGTGAGTGGAGTCTGACCGTGGTAGCTCCGTCTGTGTGAGTGTGAGGAGTCCCACCGTGGGAGCTGCGTCTGCGTGAGTGTGTGGAGTCTGACCGTGGGAGCTGCGTCTGTGTGAAGAGGCTGACCATGGGAGCTTGCGTCTGTGTGAGTGAGTGGAGTCTGGACCGTGGAAGCCGCGTCTGTGTGAGTGTGTGGAGGCTGACCGTGGAGAGCTGCGTCTGTGTGAGTGTGTGGAGTCTGACCGTGGGAGCTGCGTCTGTGTGAGTGGAGTCTGACCGTGGGAGCTGCGTCTGTGTGTGGAGTCTGACCGTGGGAGTCGCGTCTGTGTGTGGAGTCTGACCGTGGGAGTCGCGTCTATGTGTGGAGTCTGACCGTGGGAGCCGCGTTTGTGTGAGTGAGTGGAGTCTGACCGTGGGAGCTGCGTCTGTGTGAATGGAGTCTGACCGTGGGAGCTGCGTCTGTGTGAGTGTGTGGAGTCTGACCGTGGGAGCTGCGTCTGTGTGTGTGGAGTCTGACCGTGGGAGCCACGTCTGTGTGAGTGTGTGGAGGCTGACCGTGGGAGCTGCGTCTGTGTGAGTGGAGTCTGACCGTGGGAGCCGCGTCTGTGTGAGTGTGTGGAGTCTGACCGTGGGAGCCGCGTCTGTGTGAGTGTGTGGAGTCTGACCGTGGGAGCTGCGTCTGTGTGAGTGTGTGGAGTCTGACCGTGGGAGCCGCGTCTGTGTGAGTGTGTGGAGTCTGACCGTGGGAGCTGCGTCTGTGTGAGTGAGTGGAGTCTGACCGTGGGAGCCGCGTCTGTGTGACTGTGTGGAGGCTGACCGTGGGAGCTGCGTCTGTGTGAGTGTGTGGAGTCTGACCGTGGGAGCTGCGTCTGTGTTAGTGTGTGGAGGCTGACCGTGGTAGCTGCGTCTGTGCGAGTGTGTGGAGGCTGACCGTGGGAGCTGCGTCTGTGTGAGTGTGAGGAGTCTGACCGTGGGAGCTGCGTCTGTGTGAGTGTGTGGAGTCTGACCGTGGGAGCCGCGTTTGTGTGAGTGAGTGGAGTCTGACCGTGGGAGCCGTGTCTGTGTGAGTGTGTGGAGGCTGACCATGAGAGCCGCGTTCTGTGTGAGTGTGTGGAGTCTGACCGTGGGAGCTGCGTCTGTGTGAGTGGAGTCTGACCGTGGGAGCTGCGTCTGTGTGAGTGTGTGAGGCTGACCGGTGGGATATGCGTCTGTGCGAGTGTGTGGAGTCTGACCGTGGGAGCTGCGTCTGAGTGTGTGGAAGCTGACCGTGGGAGCTGCGTCTGTGTGAGTGTGTGGAGTCTGACCGTGGGAGCTGCGTCTGAGTGTGTGGAAGCTGACCATGGGAGCTGCGTCTGTGTGAGTGTGTGGAGGCTGACCGTGGGAGCTGCGTCTGTGTGAGTGGAGTCTGACCGTGGGAGCCGCGTCTGTGTGAGTGTGTGGAGTCTGACCGTGGGAGCCGCGTCTGTGTGAGTGTGTGGCGTCTGACCGTGGGAGATGCGTCTGTGTGAGTGTGTGGAGTCCTGACCGTGGAGCTGCGTCTGTGTGAGTGTGTGGAGGCTGACCGTGGGAGATGCGTCTGTGTGAGTGTGTGGAGTCTGACCGTGGGAGCTGCGTCTGTGTGCGTGAGTGGAGTCTGAACCGTGGGAGCTGTGTCTGTGTGAGTGTGTGGAGGCTGACCGTGGGAGATGTGTCTGTGTGAGTGTGTGGAGGCTGACCGTGGGAGCTGCGTCTGTGTGAGTGTGTGGAGGCTGACCGTGGGAGCTGTGTCTGTGTGAGTGTGTGGAGGCTGACCATGGGAGCTGCGTCTGTGTGAGTGTGAGGAGTCTGACCGTGGGAGCTGCGTCTGTGTGAGTGAGTGGAGTCTGACCGTGGGAGCCGTGTCTGTGTGAGTGTGTGGAGGCTGACCATGGGAGCCGCGTCTGTGTGAGTGTGTGGAGTCTGACCGTGGGAGCTGCGTCTGTGTGAGTGGAGTCTGACCGTGGGAGCTGCGTCTGTGTGAGTGTGTGGAGGCTGACGGTGGGATATGCGTCTGTGCGAGTGTGTGGAGTCTGACCGTGGGAGCTGCGTCTGAGTGTGTGGAAGCTGACCGTGGGAGCTGCATCTGTGTGAGTGTGTGGAGTCTGACCGTGGGAGCTGCGTCTGTGTGTGTGGAGTCTGACCGTGGGAGCCACGTCTGTGTGTGAGTGTGTGGAGGCTGACCGTGGGAGCTGCGTCTGTGTGAGTGGAGTCTGACCGTTGGGAGCCGCGTCTGTGTGAGTGTGTGGAGTCTGACCGTGGGAGCCGCGTCTGTGTGAGGTGTGTGGCGTCTGACCGTGGGAGATGCGTCTGTGTGAGTGTGTGGAGTCTGACCGTGGGAGCTGCGTCTGTGTGAGTGTGTGGAGTCTGACCGTGGGAGCTGTGTCTGTGTAAGTGTGTGGAGGCTGACCGTGGGATATGTGTCTGTGTGAGTGTGTGGAGGCTGACCGTGATGGAAGAGCTGCGTCTGTGTGAGTGTGTGGAGGCTGACCGTGGGAGCTGTGTCTGTGTGAGTGTGTGGAGGCTGACCGTGGGAGCTGCGTCTGTGTGAGTGTGTGGAGGCTGACCGTGGGAGCTGCGTCTGCGTGAGTGGAGTCCTGACCGTGGGAGCTGCGTCTGTGTGAGTGTGTGGAGGCTGACCGTGGGAGCTGTGTCTGTGTGTGTGGAGTCTGACCGTGGGAGCTGCGTCTGTGTGAGTGTGTGGAGGCTGACCGTGGGAGCTGTGTCTGAGTGAGTGGAGTCTGACCGTGGGAGCTGCGTCTGTGTGAGGTGTGGAGGCTGACCGTGGGAGATGCGTCTGTGTGAGTGTGTGGAGTCTGACCGTGGGAGATGCGTCTGTGTGAGTGTGTGGAGTCTGACCGTGGGAGCCGCGTCTGTGTGAGTGTGTGGAGTCTGACCGTGGGAGCTGCGTCTGAGTGTGTGGAGTCTGACCGTGGAGATGCGTCTGTGTGAGTGGAGTCTGACCGTGGGAGCTGCGTCTGCGTGAGTGGAGTCTGACCGTGGGAGCTGCATCTGTGCGAGTGTTGTGGAGTCTGACCGTGGGAGATGCGCCTGTGTGAGTGGAGTCTGACCGTGGTAGCTCCGTCTGTGTGAGTGTGAGGAGTTCCCACCGTGGGAGCTGCGTCTGCGTGAGTGTGTGGAGTCTGACCGTGGGAGCTGCGTCTGTGTGAAGAGGCAGACCATGGGAGCTGCGTCTGTGTGAGTGAGGGGAGTCGGACCGTGGGAGCCGCGTCTGTGTGAGTGTGTGGAGGTTGACCGTGGGAGCTGCGTCTGTGTGAGTGGAGTCTGACCGTGGGAGCTGCGTCTGTGTGTGGAGTCTGACCGTGGGAGTCGCATCTGTGTGTGGAGTCTGACCGTGGGAGTCGCGTCTATGTGTGGAGTCTGACCGTGGGAGCCGCGTCTGTGTGAGTGTGTGGAGTCTGACCGTGGGAGCTGCGTCTGTGCGAATGGAGTCTGACCGTGGGAGCTGCGTCTGTGTGAGTGTGTGGAGTCTGACCGTGGGAGCTGCGTCTCGTGTGTGTGGAGTCTGACCGTGGGAGCCACGTCTGTGTGAGTGTGTGGAGGCTGACCGTGGAGCTGCGTCTGTGTGAGTGGAGTCTGACCGTGGGAGCCGGTCTGTGTGGTGTGTGGAGTCTGACCGTGGAGCCGCGTCTGTGTGAGTGTGTGGAGTCTGACCGTGGGAGCTGCGTCTGTGTGAGTGTGTGGAGTCTGACCGTGGGAGCTGCATCTGTGTGAGTGAGTGGAGTCTGACCGTGGGAGCCGCGTCTGTGTGACTGTGTGGAGGCTGACCGTGGGAGCTGCGTCTGTGTGAGTGTTGTGGAGTCTGACCGTGGGAGCTGCGTCTGTGTTAGTGTGTGGAGGGCTGACCGTGGTAGCTGCGTCTGTGCGAGTGTGTGGAGGCTGACCGTGGGAGCTGCGTCTGTGTGAGTGTGAGGAGTCTGACCGTGGGATCTGCATCTGTGGTGAGTGTGTGGAGTCTGACCGTGGGAGCTGCGTTTGTGTGAGTGAGTGGAGTCTGACCGTGGGAGCCGTGTCTGTGTGAGTGTGTGGAGTCTGACAGTGGGAGCCGAGTCTGTGTCAGTGTGTGGAGTCTAACCGTGGGAGCTGCGTCTGTGTGAGTGTTGTGGAGTCTGACCGTGGAGCTGTGTCTGTGTGAGTGTGTGGAGGCTGACCGTGGGAGCTGCGTCTGTGTGAGTGTGTGGAGGCTGACCGTGGGAGCTGTGTCTGTGTGAGTGTGTGGAGTCTGACAGTGGGAGCTGCGTCTGTGTGAGTGGAGTCTGACCGTGGTAGCTGCGTCTGTGTGAGTGTGTGGAGTCTGACCTGTGGAGCCGCGTCTGCGTGAGTGTGTGGAGTCTGACCGTGGGAGCTGCGTCTGCGTGAGTGGAGTCTGACCGTGGTAGCTGCGTCTGTGTGAGTGTGGAGTCTGACCGTGGGATGCGTCTGTGTGAGTGTGTGGAGTCTGACCGTGGGAGCCGCGTCTTTGTGAGTGTGTGGAGTCTGACCGTGGGAGCTGCGTCTGAGTGTGGAGTCTGACCATGGGAGATGCGTCTGTGTGAGTGGAGTCTGACCGTGGGAGCTGCGTCTGCGTGAGTGGAGTCTGACCGTGGGAGCCACGTCTGTGTGAGTGTGTGGAGGCTGACCGTGGGAGCTGCGTCTGTGTGAGTGGAGTCTGACCGTGGGAGCCGCGTCTGTGTGAGTGTGTGGAGTCTGACCGTGGGAGCGGCGTCTGTGTGAGTGTGTGGCGTCTGACCGTGGGAGATGCGTCTGTGTGAGTGTGTGGAGTCTGACCGTGGGAGCTGCGTCTGTGTGAGTGTGTGGAGGCTGACCGTGGGAGATGCGTCTGTGTGAGTGTGTGGAGTCTGACCGTGGGAGCTGTGTCTGTGTGCGTGAGTGGAGTCTGACCGTGGGAGCTGTGTCTGTGTGAGTGTGTGGAGGCTGACCGTGGGAGATGTGTCTGTGTGAGTGTGTGGAGGCTGACCGTGGGAGATGCATCTGTGTGAGTCACCTGGCCCCTGTAGGCGAGGGGGAGGAGGTCGCACGCCGCCCGCAGCGCCGACTCCGCACGCTCCGTCGTGACGTTGCTGCCCAGCGGCACCTCCACGCCGCTCAGCAGCAGCTTGCAGAGAGCGCAGTCCCTACACATGCAGACACGGAGACAGAGACACAGAGACACAGACACATAGACACAGACACACAGAGACATATACACAGAGAGATAGACACAAAGAGATAGACACAGAGACATAGACACAGAGACAGACACAGAGACACGGAGACATAGACACAGAGAGATAGACACAGAGACACGGAGACACAGAGACACAGAGACACAGAGACACATAGACACAGAGACACGGAGACACAGAGACACAGAGACACAGACACATAGACACAGACACAGAGACAGAGACAGAGAGACACAGTGACACAGAGACACAGACACAGAGACACAGACACACAGACAGAGAGACAGAGACACAGAGGTTGCGGTGAGTTTGTTCTGGTGGTGGTTGTGGTGGTAGTGGTGGTGGTTGATGGTGGTGGTTGATGGTGGTGGTTGTGGTGCTTGCTAAAGCCACAACCGAAGACGAACATCTGTGGAGGGATGCCGGCAAAGGCCGACTGCCCTCCTGTCCCAGGTGCTCTGGTGTGGACTAATCAGTCTCTAGAACAATGCCACAGACACTAATGAGAGCGTGTTTTTTCTCTGCATTCTGACCACAAGCAATGCGGTTCACGCAGTGACGTGATTCCTTGTACAAAGGTTCCAGTTTGGTGTTTTAACATCTCAACGCGGCCGTTTCGTCGCCGGGGAAAAAAAGGGTAAAGAATTTACTCTCAGATTTCGGTCCCCGGCCACGCGACGGGGGGGGGGGGGGGGTGGGGAGGGGGGGAGGGGAAATCAACGTCCGGCGGCGTCGCCGCCATCGTCACCGTGGACGGCGCCCGCGTCGGCCGCCGTGGCCGCAGCGTCGCCGAAGCAGAGGCCCAGCAGCGTGCAGACGACGGCCGGGCTGAGCCCCTTGACGAGGAGGCCACGACTCGCGTGCCGTAGCGCTCCACAAAGTCGCGGCACTCCCCCGCCGTGGTGGCCGGCAGCAGGGAGCACACCGCCTCCACCGCCTCCACCGCCGCACGCTGGCGGGGGGTGGGGGGGGGGGGGTGGGAGGGAGGAGGAGGGGGAGGAGGGAGGAGGGGGGGGAATGGGTAGGAGAGGAATGGGGGGGGGGGGGGTTAGACCAATGAGAAATGACAAAGCGTGAGCAGTACAGGGAGAATGCCAACAAGCAGGGTGGCTGTGGTGGTGCCAACACCAACGAGTTGTCGCGGCACGGGCCTTGACACTCACTGGCCCCGTAGCAGCGGATGAGAGGGGGGATAGGGGGGGAGAGAGGGGGGGGGGGGGAGGGGAGGGAGGGAGGGCCCCCCCCAGCATCCCCCCAGTGCCTACCTCCGTGCGGTTGTCAGCCAGGTAGCCGTCCAACTTGCTCATGATGAACTCGCAGAGGACGCACGTGGGGCCAAACTTCACGCCCTGCGGTCCACAGCATCAGCAACGTCGCAAACAGCAGCATCAACATCGTCATCATCGTCATCGTTATGGGCAGTGTTGAGTCTATGGTGCAGTGTTGAGTCTATGTGCAGTGTTGAGTCTATGGTGCAGTGTTGAGTCTATGGTGCAGTGTTGAGTCTATGTGCAGTGTTAAGTCTATGGTGCAGTGCTGAGTCTATGGTGCAGTGTGAGTCTACGGTGCAGTGTTGATCTACGGTGCAGTGTTGAGTCTATCTGGGTAATGCTGAGTCTATGGGCAGCGTTGAGTCTATGGTGCTGTGTTGAGTCGATGGTGCAGTGTTGAGTCGATCTGAGTAATGCTGAGTCTATGTGGCAGTGTGTGAGTCTATGTGGCAGTGTTGAGTCTATGGTGCAGTGTTGAGTCTATGGTGCAGTGTTGAGTCTATGGCAGTGTTGAGTCTATGGGCAGTGTTGAGTCTATGGTGCAGTGTTGAGTCTATGGGCAGTGTTGTGTCTATGGTGCAGTGTTGAGTCTATGGTGGAGTGTTCAGTTCTATGGTGCAGTGTTGAGTCTATGGGCAGTGTTGAGTCATGGGCAGTATTGAGTCTATTGGCAGTGTGAGTCTATGGAGCAGTGTTGAGTATATGGTGCCAGTGTTGAGTCTATGGTGCAGTGTTGAGTCTATGGGCAGTGATGAGTCTATGGTGTAGTGTTGAGTCTATGGTGCAGTGTTGAGTCTATGGTGCAGTGTTGAGTCTATGGTACAGTGTTGAGTCTATGGGCAGTGATGAGCTATGCGTGGAAATGTTGAGTCTATAGTGCAGTGTTGAGTCTATGGTGCAGTGTTGAGTCTATGGGCAGTGATAGTCTATGCTTGGAAATGTTGAGTCTATGGTGCAGTGTTGAGTCTATGGTGCAGTGTTGAGTCTATGGTGCGTGTTGAGTCTATGCTTGGAATGTTGAGTCTATGGTGCAGTGTTGAGTATATGGTGCAGTGTTGAGTCTATGGTGCAGTGTTGAGTCTATGGTGCAGCGTTGAGTCTATGGGCAGTGCTGAGTCTATGCGTGGAAATGTTGAGTCTATGGTGCAGTGTTGAGTCTATGGTGCAGTGTTGAGTCTATGGCAGTGTTGAGTCTATGGTACAGTGTTGAGTCTATGGGCAGTGATGATCTATGCGTGGAAATGTTGAGTCTATAGTGCAGTGTTGAGTCTATGGTGCAGTGTTGAGTCTATGGGCAGTGATGAGTCTATGCTTGGAAAATGTTGAGTCTATGGTGCAGTGTTGAGTCTATGGTGCAGTGTTGAGTCTATGGTGCAGTGTGAGTCTATGCTGGAAATGTTGAGTCTATGGTGCAGTGTTGAGTATATGGTGCAGTGTTGAGTCTATGGTGCAGTGTTGAGTCTATGGTGCAGCGTTGAGTCTATGGGCAGTGCTGAGTCTATGCGTGGAAATGTTGAGTCTATGGTGCAGTGTTGAGTCTATGGTGCAGTGTTGAGTCTATGGGCAGTGATGAGTCTATGCGTGGAAATGTTGAGTCTATGCACAGTGTTGAGTCTTAGGGTTGTGTTGAGTCTATGGTGCAATGTTGAGTCTATCTGGGTAATGCTGAGTCTAATGGTGCAGTGTTGAGTCTATGGTGCAGTGTTGAGTCTATGGGCAGTGCTGAGTCTATGGGCAGTGTTGAGTCTATGGTGCAGTTTTGAGTCTATGGTGCAGTGTTGAGTCTATGGTGCAGTGTTGAGTTTATGGTGTAGTGTTGAGTCTATGGTGTAGTGTTGAGTCTATGGGCAGTGTTGAGTCTATGGGTAGTGTTGAGTCTATGGGTAGTGTTGAGTCTATGGTGCAGTGTTGAGTCTATGGGCAGTGTTGAGTCTATGGGTAGTGTTGAGTCTATGGTGCAATGTTGAGTCTATCTGTGTAATGCTGAGTCTATGGTGCTGTGTTGAGTCTATGGTGCAGTATTGAGTCGATGGTACAGTGTTGAGTCTATCTGAGTAATGCTGAGTCTATGGTGCAGTGTTGAGTCTATGGTGTAGTGTTGAGTCTATGGGCAGTGTTGAGTCTATGGGTAGTGTTGAGTCTATGGGTAGTGTTGAGTCTATGGTGCAGTGTTGAGTCTATGGGCAGTGTTGAATCTATGGGTAGTGTTGAGTCTACGGGTAGTGTTGAGTCTATGGGTAGTGTTGAGTCTATGGGCAGTGTTGAGTCTATGGTGTAGTGTTGAGTCTATGGGTAGTGCTGAGTCTATCTGGGTAGTGTTGGGTCTATTCTGCAATGTTGAGTCTATCTGGGGAGTGTTGAGTCTATGGTGCAGTGTTGAGTCTATGGTCAGTGTTGAGTCTATGGTGTAGTGTTGAGTATATGGGCAGTGTTGAGTCTATGGGTAGTGTTGAGTCTATGGTGCAGTGTTGAGTCTATGGGAAGTGTTGAGTCTATGGGTAGTGTTGCGTTTATGGGTAGTGTTGAGTCTATGGTGCAGTGTTGAGTCTATGGGTAGTGTTGAGTCTATGGGCAGTGTTGAGTCTATGGTGCAGTGAGTGTTGAGTCTATGGTGTAGTGTTGAGTCTATGGTGTAGTGTTGAGTCTATGGTGCAGTGTTGAGTCTATGGTGTAGTGTTGAGTCTATGGTGTAGTGTTGAGTCTATGGGCAGTGTTGAGTCTATGGGTAGTGTTGAGTCTATGGGTAGTGTTGAGTCTATGGGTAGTGTTGAGTCTATGGTGCAATGTTGAGTCTATCTGGGTAGTGTTGAGTCTATGGTGCAGTGTTGAGTCTATCTGAGTAATGCTGAGTCTATGGTGCAGTGTTGAGTCTATGGTGCAGTGTTGAGTCTATCTGGGTAATGCTGAGTCTATGGTGCAGTGTTGAGTCTATGGTGCAGTATTGAGTCGATGGTGCAGTGTTGAGTCTATCTGAGTAATGCTGAGTCTATGGTGCAGTGTTGAGTCTATGGTGCAGTGTTGAGTCTATGGAGCAGTGTTGAGTCTATGGGCAGTGATGAGTCTATGCTTGGAAATGTTGAGTCTATGGTGCAGTGTTGAGTCTATGGTGCAGTGTTGAGTCTATGGTGCAGTGTTGAGTCTATGCTTGGAAATGTTGAGTCTATGGTGCAGTGTTGAGTATATGGTGCAGTGTTGAGTCTATGGTGCAGTGTTGAGTCTATGGTGCAGCGTTGAGTCTATGGGCAGTGCTGAGTCTATGCGTGGTAATGTTGAGTCTATGGTGCAGTGTTGAGTCTATGGTGCAGTGTTGAGTCTATGGGCAGTGATGAGTCTATGCGTGGAAATGTTGAGTCTATGCACAGTGTTGAGTCTTAGGGTTGTGTTGAGTCTATGGTGCAATGTTGAGTCTATCTGGGTAATGCTGAGTCTATGGTGCAGTGTTGAGTCTATGGTGCAGTATTGAGTCGATGGTACAGTGTTGAGTCTATCTGAGTAATGCTGAGTCTATGGTGCAGTGTTGAGTCTATGGTGTAGTGTTGAGTCTATGGGCAGTGTTGAGTCTATGGGTAGTGTTGAGTCTATGGGTAGTGTGAGTCTATGGTGCAGTGTTGAGTCTATGGGCAGTGTTGAGTCTATGGGTAGTGTTGAGTCTACGGGTAGTGTTGAGTCTATGGGTAGTGTTGAGTCTATGGGCAGTGTTGAGTCTATGGTGTAGTGTTGAGTCTATGGGTAGTGCTGAGTCTATCTGGGTAGTGTTGGGTCTATTCTGCAATGTTGAGTCTATCTGGGGAGTGTTGAGTCTATGGTGCAGTGTTGAGTCTATGGGCAGTGTTGAGTCTATGGTGTAGTGTTGAGTATATGGGCAGTGTTGAGTCTATGGGTAGTGTTGAGTCTATGGTGCAGTGTTGAGTCTATGGGAAGTGTTGAGTCTATGGGTAGTGTTGCCTTTATGGGTAGTGTTGAGTATATGGTGCAGTGTTGAGTCTATGGGTAGTGTTGAGTCTATGGTGCAGTGTTGAGTCTATGGTGCAGTGTTGAGTCTATGGTGTAGTGTTGAGTCTATGGTGTAGTGTTGAGTCTATGGTGTAGTGTTGAGTCTATGGTGCAGTGTTGAGTCTATGGTGTAGTGTTGAGTCTATGGTGTAGTGTTGAGTCTATGGGCAGTGTTGAGTCTATGGGTAGTGTTGAGTCTATGGGTAGTGTTGAGTCTATGGGTAGTGTTGAGTCTATGGTGCAATGTTGAGTCTATCTGGGTAATGCTGAGTCTATGGTGCAGTGTTGAGTCTATGGTGCAGTATTGAGTCGATGGTGCAGTGTTGAGTCTATCTGAGTAATGCTGAGTCTATGGTGCAGTGTTGAGTCTATGGTGCAGTGTTGAGTCTATGGTGCAGTATTGAGTCGATGGTACAGTGTTGAGTCTATCTGAGTAATGTTGAGTCTATGGTGCAGTGTTGAGTCTATGGTGTAGTGTTGAGTCTATGGGCAGTGTTGAGTCTATGGGTAGTGTTGAGTCTATGGGTAGTGTTGAGTCTATGGTGCAGTGTTGAGTCTATGGGCAGTGTTGAGTCTATGGGTAGTGTTGAGTCTACGGGTAGTGTTCAGTCTATGGGTAGTGTTGAGTCTATGGGCAGTGTTGAGTCTATGGTGTAGTGTTGAGTCTATGGGTAGTGCTGAGTCTATCTGGGTAGTGTTGGGTCTATTCTGCAATGTTGAGTCTATCTGGGGAGTGTTGAGTCTATGGTGCAGTGTTGAGTCTATGGGCAGTGTTGAGTCTATGGTGTAGTGTTGAGTATATGGGCAGTGTTGAGTCTATGGGTAGTGTTGAGTCTATGGGTAGTGTTGAGTCTATGGTGCAGTGTTGAGTCTATGGGTAGTGTTGAGTCTATGGGCAGTGTTGAGTCTATGGTGCAGTGTTGAGTCTATGGTGTAGTGTTGAGTCTATGGTGTAGTGTTGAGTCTATGGTGTAGTGTTGAGTCTATGGTGCAGTGTTGAGTCTATGGTGTAGTGTTGAGTCTATGGTGTAGTGTTGAGTCTATGGGCAGTGTTGAGTCTATGGGTAGTGTTGAGTCTATGGGTA